ATGGATACAAATAGATACAATGTTGCAACCACTGTAAATGTCATGGAACTGTCAAAGAAATAGCAGAGCTCTCTGCAGGGACACTTTTTGCCGGCTGTAGACGGGATGAAAATCGGCCGATTTTTTTTACCATTGCTGGTAACGTCGGCCGATTTTTCGTTTTTTAAAAGAAAAATCGGCCGTTTTTCTCCCCGTCTATGGCCTGCATAACTCTTTATTCCCAATGTCATAATTCCTTTCAGCTGAGGACATCAAGTGAGAGAAAGAACCACAAGGATGAAGCTTCATTTTTTCATCACTTCATCACATAGCTCCCATGGCAGAGTCAGAAGCATCCACTGCCACTATAAAGGGTAGTTCAGGATTGGGATGTACCAAAATTGGTTCAGAAGTAAAAATAGTTTTTTAGCTTTCCAAAAGCAGCCTGTGCCTCAGTGGTCCACATGAAGGGTACACCTTTCTTTGTCAGCTGTGTAATTGGAGCTATCACCTTAGAAAAGTTTCTTATAAATTTTCCGTAAAAGTTGGCAAACCTGACGAAACTTTGAATTTCCTTAACATTTCCAGGGGCTGACCAATCTACCACTGCTTTGATCTTCTCTGGTCCATGCTCACTCCCTCTGGAGAAATGATATAGCCTAAGAACTGGATCTGGGTTTGTTCAAACTCACATTTCTCCATTTTAATGTAAAGTCTATTCTTCCTTAATCTTTCAAAGACAGTGCAAACATGTTTGCGGTGCTCCTCCTGATTATCGGAAAAGATAATATCATCCAGATAAGCTATCACAAATTGGTCCAACAGATGATGAAAAACATTGTTGATGAAATGCTGAAAAGTCGCAGGGGTGTTGCAAAGTCCAAACGGCATAACCAAGGACTTGAAATGCCCATACCTGGTTTTAAAGGCGTTTTTCCATTCGTCTCCTTAGCGAATGAGGACAAGGTTATATGCCCCTTGTAAATTAAGTTTTGTCAAGATTTTGGCAGAACGCAGTCTTTCCAACATTTCAGAGATCAAAGATAATGGATAGCGGTTTTTAATAGTGATATTATTCATATCTCTGTAGTCAATGCATGGACGCAAGGTGGAGTTTTTCTTTTCAATAAAGAACAGGGCTGCTCCTGCAGGGCTGCTCCTGTTGAGTGTCTAATAAAACCCTTCTCTAAATTCTCATCAAGCCACTCCCTGAGCACCTTTAATTCAGGTTCTGACAGATTGAAAAGGTGGTCAAAAGGTATTTCTGCCCCTGGGAGCAGCTCAATGGGACAATCATATGGGCGATGAGGAGGTAATTGATTGGCATTTTTCTTGTCACAGACATCCCGGAACTCATGGTATTGTGGAGGCATCAATTTGCGATTCCTTGGCCAGTGAAGAACTTGGTCGACAAAAGTTCCCTACAGTATTTTTCACAGTGTTGGGATGTAAAATCTATAGTCCATGCTCCCCATTTGATGGAGGGATTGTGAGTAGAGAACCAAGGAATGCCCAGGATGATAGGAAACTTGGGTGACACAATCAGCTGAAAGCTGATGATCTCACAATGGTCAGCCCAAACTGTAGTACCAAGGGAATTGTTTTATGGGTAACAGGTCCTGAAGATAAGGGTGAACCATCAACTGTTTCCAAATCAATAAGGGTAAACATATTTCTTGCTTGAATACTATTGCTGTGGGCAAATTCTATATCCATAAAGTTCCCCTCAGCCCCAGAGTCCTGCATAGCTGAGCAGGAGATTTCACGGCCCTCAGAGACAAGTTTAATGAGGATGACAAAATGAGAGAATAGAGTTCACTTTATTTTCTTCAGGAATCAGTGGGGAGACAGACTGGCTAATAGAGTGTATTTGTTCAGGCACAATCACATCAGCCATAGCAATTGTTCTTCTAACTTTGTTAGAACAATTAACTGCATAATGACCAGAGTCCCCACAATATAGACATAAGTTCTCTGAACGTCTTCTCTCTCTCTCCTGAATGGAAATGGATCTCTTGATAGCATCAACCTGCATAGACTCGGGGGTGTTAGAACCCAGAGACACTTTTGAATCCTGCTGAACAAATGGACAAGCAGAGAGATAGTCACGGTCAGAGGTCAGGTTCAGAGACCAGTAGCTATAGCAGCAGACCAACCAACAGGATAGGTAAACAAGCAGGTCACCCTGGGAGATGACGCAGGCTCACCCAAGGTGCGAGGTCTAAGCACTAACCGATATTCACTAGAGCTCCTGTTTCATTTTACCTTGATAATTATAACTGAAATTATTAATGTAGAGAAACACTATGCATTCACCTCACATAGACCTTCGGACACTATACATACAATAAATATATATAATTATGTATGTATGTATATGTGTTAACTGTAGGGATCAGCAGAGTGATTTTGGTTAATATACAATATATGATAAACATTGCCTTCTTTTTTTCTGAAGGAAATGCAGCAGGGTGCATTTGGAAATATACAACATTGATTAAGGAAACCCCTGTAATAGCGGCGGTCTCCATTACACTTAAATGGTTGGGGCTGGGGTATATGTGAGTTAGTATCATCTCGGTTCAGCAATTGTCTCTGCAGAGTATGAATCTCTCTCTGCTGCCTATCCACAACACTTTCCAGTTTGGCAACTTTTTCTTGATGGGTAACCCCGAATTCCTGCAGCTCAGCAATTTGCTGCCTAAGAGGAACCACAATGTTAGCTATAGCGGCCTCAATTATTGGGCCAGATTTTTCTGTCACGATCATGGGTCAGGCTCAAAGACCAGTTGCTATAGCAGTGGAAAGGCTCACACCAAAACCAGCAGGATAGGTACACAGGCAGGTCACCATGGCAGAGGAGTGGGCTCACCTGAGGTGCAGAGTCTAAGTACTAACCGGTGTTCACCAGAGCTCCTGATGGTGTAGATGGATTTTGCTATGTGTTAGCACCAGGTCGTGGTCCTCAGGATCACCCCACCAGGAGGTGAGCATGCGGAAATCCAGTAGGGTATTAAGCAGGTAAGGATCAAACGGAAGCGTGGTCAGTAAACAAGCCAAGGCCGGTAATGAGCAGTCGCAGGTTGGGATCAGGCAGAAGCGTAGTCGAGAACAAGCCAAGGGTCAATAACGAGTGGTAGCAAAATATGGATAACAGCAGAGAAGGCAAGGAGCAAGTTACTGGCTGGAGAGCACAATAATCTGGCAAACCGGAAGTGCAGAGACATGGCTTATATCAGGAAGTTCATGGGAGGAGCAAGGGGTTCAAGGTTCATGGCAAACAAAGTCATGTCCAGCATTCCAGGTGGCTCAGCAAGAAGAAACATTGTCACTCACCACAGAAGGCCTAGGTTCGGACCCAGGCTCTGACACATCTCTTCTGGATGCAGGTCTACCCTTTCCTGGCCTCCAGCACTGTCCAGGGCCTCCACTTTCTGGTTACATCTGCCCGATGGTGGGGTCTCTGACTCCCATGTCCCAACTGCATTAGGGCTCCTCCGAACCTTAGTCAGTAGGGCGCTGTAAATAGCTTTCTGAAAACTTCACATCACCCTGCCTCAGTATTCCTTATGCAAGCAATGGTTCTTGATGGGAGAATGTCATTCTAAAGGAATGGGAGTTTCTAGGCAGGTTGAACTTTCACAGAGACCACACTACATAATGTCCATATGGGATACTGAGCCTCCACAATGAAAGGGGCTGACCAGGGACAGTAAGACTGAGGAGGAGAGTGGTAGATAAGACTGGATATGCCCCAGACAGGAAATGAGTGGACTCTATTTGGCTTGCTGAGGCTTCTAATACAAGCTCACAGTGTGCAATGAAATCAGAGGAAGCAATTTAGTACAGAAGAAGAGTTCATACAAATGTGCACGAGTGAAGGTAAGGTTGAGAATCACCCTTAAGGACTCAGTGCAGCCCCTGGCTGTTTTATCACTCAGCTCTGTCATCTCTCAGCCCACTGTTGCAGTCTCAGCCTTGCTATTAGACTGATTCTCTCAGTCTTGCTCAGGCTCTTAGTCTATTCATACAAAGACTACCTCTGCCATTTAACAGTGGCTTACTGTCTCTTAGATCAGATGATGGTCTGATATGACTTCCTATCTATTCCAGGCACAGAAAGACCTAGACCTGAACTGCCAGTATGTCTTCGTGAAAGTGCTGCCTCAACAGGAATAGCTTACATAGGAGCCCTGATTGAGTGCAGACTCTTCCATTTATCAATAAAACGCTGTTGTCCTCAATTAGATACATCTTTTGAGCTCTCTGGCACCCTTTGCCGCATCTGGTCTCCATTGCTGCCACTGTGCACCTGTCCCAATCCATGCAATATACTGTATCTATTGAAAGAAAATATTCGAGGTCTGCAGCCAGTGCTTTTTTTCTCATACAATAGGTGCAGTTAATCTTCCCTTCTTATTCACTCCTTGTCGCCAGCCCCTACCCACCTATGAGCACCTTCCCTTGGTTCCTCCCCCTGTCAACCTCCCAGTGCCACCTGTTTTATGTATAATCTTTGTTTATTGCAATTTTCAGATTTTTTCAAAAGTCAGGCAAAAGTAAAAAAAAAAATCATTGATGTCAACAGTACAGAACCTGTAGACAATGTACATTGGAGATAAAGTAGATTCATCATATCTCATAGCATTATAAAGTACAATATTCATATTGGTATAAAACAGTCTGTAATGTAACATATCAAAAGACATAAGGTTCACGCAATTTCTAAAGTTAAAGGCAACCTAATCAGGTCATTGTACTACAACCTAGCAGGGTAAGTGAACTGCACATGGTTTCAGTACTGATTATTAAGAAAGCAAGAAAAAATCATAAAAAATAAAGCAATACTGAAGGCTAATTCCCACATAGACTAAACAGCAGTCAGCAGGTTGTTGTACAGATTCATAGAGCCATGAAAAGCCATAAGAAACAAAAACAAAGAAAAAAAAGGGGGGGGAGAAGAGAGGGAAGCTGGAGGGATGGGGGGAAAATAGGGGAAAGCATCGGAATTTGCACCCAACACCAGGGGCGGACTGACAACTCATAGGGCCCCTGGGCAATAGGGGATCATGGGGCCCCTGTGTCCTTGCCCAAACTCAAAAAAGCCTATGAAAAAGGTACCAGGGGCATCTCATGGGGCCCCCTACTGACCCCAGGCCCTCGGGCAGTGCCCGAGATTCCAAATGGTCAGTCCGCCCCTGCCCAAAACTCAACGGGTTGATAAAAGAATCCAGAGTGGTGGAGGGGAGGAGAATGAGGAGGTCTGACCCCCTAACTTTATAGGTATTGAGAGAATTTGGTGCAATAGTATTTCCATTGCGTCCAAACAATCAGAGGCTGTTGCAGCAGTTTATCTTCATCATGGACTGGATTTCGTTCATCTCACATACCTTTTCTGCCATAGAGGGACAAAGTGGTTTACACCAATTACAAGCTATAATGGTTCAGAGCTTCTGTGAACATATGGTGAAAGACATCATTCCTAATAGATCTGAACTCTCCCATGATGATTGACAGCAGCATAATACATATGTTATGTAGAACATAGGGGAGTCATGAGTCTGGACCAGGGGAGTCTGGACCATCCTGGTGTTGTCACTATGAAAGAAAGTATTGGTATGTAGCGTCACTTGAAAGTCCAGGTTAGAAAATAGGGGAGTCCTGAGTCATGGATATGGTCTGTTTCCCTAAAAGCAAAAGTAAGTGTTTGGCCAGCGGTCAAAGGTAAGGAGGTATCCATGGAAGCAATTTAAATGAAGTGACGTCCTCCTCCAGAGACGCCCATTGTTTTGACTCAGTGTTATGGAACCAGTCCACAATTCTGGTAACAGAGGCATCTTGTAAGCAGAGGGAGAAATCCTGGAAACCAAGACCACCCAAGTGTTTAGACCTTATTAAAATGGAACATTGGATGAACAGTACCACCTCTTTTAGAGACAACAAAACCAAGCATCATTTTGGGGTGCTAAGTGATTTGTGTGGCATTTAGTAATAACAAGGCAGTAAAATAGATCCCCTGCAGCCAGCAACAATACACCCTCCCAGTAATAATAAATCACCCCAACAACAATAGACCCCCCTGCATCAAAATCCACCCTCCTGCAACAGTGGATCCACCCCAGCAGCAATAGACTTCCAACCAGCAGTCAGGATCAATAAACCCTCCAGCAGCCAACAACAATATACCCCTTCCTTAAAAGTAGACAGTAGACCCCTCCCGACAACAATTGACCCCCTAGCAACAATAGATCCTCCAGTAGCCAGCATTAACAGACCTTCCAGCACACCGCAGCACTCCTTTCCATTACATACAACCAGTGCTGGAGGTGCCAGAAGCGTGCCCCCCCCCCCCCCCCCCGCATTCCCGTTGAAATAAAAGCTCTGGTTGCAGCACTCCATGAAATTTAAGAAATGAAGTTTAAGAATTTAAAATTTAATTACTTTGGTTATAAAAATTGCACATGAACTTGCATTTTCTGTTTCATGTGTATTAATTGGTTTCTTCAATACTGCCTGTAAATCTGTGCCTTTTTTTTTTCTTCTGTTCTGTCACTGTTCAGCACAACTTCTTATCTCTCTAATTCATTATTCATCATTCTCCTTCACATATTCCTCTTTCCAAGTAAGATGTTCTCCCTAACACTCCTATCAGCTCTTAGATCTACCCCCCCCCCCCCATTCTTCAGCCTTCCTAATCAGCAATCCATTCCAGCCAGCCAGCTGCATTCACAGCTCATGCCAACCATAACATGGAAGAGTTTAAAATACTTGCATACATCTTTACAGCATAAGTAAATATTTCATTTCAAATCTGAATTGGCATAAATCACATTACTGATTAACCAACTTTTTTACACACATGGAATGTAAAATATTTTTTTATTCAATACAGTTATTCAGTGCATGGTACTGTATTTTTCTTTCCATTATGAAGTACAGTGTATGAAATTGTAAAAGCAGACTGTAATATGTGTATCTCAAATAAAACACATAGACCAATAAATAACCAAAGCTGGCAAACACCAAATCCAGGAACCCAATAACCCTAATGCTAGCCTCCAAAGTTTCCCAGCAGTGAAATCATTTTTGAAAGTTCCAATGACAGATTCTTTCTGCCATACCAGTTTGATCAACTCATAAAAGCAATTAGAGGTCTTTATTAATCCAATTAAATTGATGGTATCCAATTCTTCTTAAGGTGTTATATATAATGTCAAGGAAAAAAATAAATAAGAAATTCAGCAAAGTGAGAATATATACCAGGGATGTCAAACTCAATTTAATCGCAGGCTGCATCAGCATTCTGGATGCCCTCAAAGGGCCAGTTGCATCAATAAGACTAGATGTTCAGAGCACCCCACCCCACCCCCCTTACATCAGATATCACGAGCACCCCTCCATCTCACCTTGTGCTGTTACTGGGAAGAAGCAAAGGGTGGAGCTGGGAAGCAGAAATTGAAGGGTCTGGAGAAGGACCAGAGAAGGGTTGGAGTCAGCTGAATGCTGAGACCAGGCGAGGTAGAGATGAGGGATGAGGCTGCTTTACAGAGAGGTGCAGGATCTGTAGGAGAAGTTCTGTCCTCCTCTTTGCTGCTGACTGCTGAGACGGGTGAGGGGCAAAAATGAGATAAAGTGGGGGCAGAGATGAAGGAAATGTTGCAGCTGCAGGAGAGGTGTGAGGGCTACATGAAATGGCCTAGAGGGTCAGATTCAGCCTTCGGGCCTTGTGTTTGTCCTATGTGGTATATGCTAATGGACAGGTGGGATAACTTGGAAAACAGGGGCAGCAACCTCACTACAGGAGTCCACAAAAGATGTAAAGATAGTTTATTCAATTTGCCAGAATTAACTAAAATCAGGCAGAATTTAACAGTCTGTCTTTTACGTGCACCACTTGTCATTTTGCATTAACATTTTGAATTCAGCAAGCTACCAATGAAAAGATGGTGCTCAAATCCATATCCTAAAGAGAAAAAATGGGGAACACATTGGGGTATACATTGCAAAACAGATGAAAGCTTGATTATGGCTCAACCTAAGATACACTATATTGCCAAAAGTATTAGGACACCCATCCAAATCATTGGATTCAGGTGTTCCAATCACCTCCATGGCCGCAGGTGTATAAAATCAAGTACCTAGGCATGCAAATTGCTTCTACAAATTTTTGGGAAAAAATGGGTTGCTCTCAGGAGCTCAGTGAATTCAAGCGTGGTACGTGTGATAGGTTGTCTCCTGTGCAGTAAGTCCATCCGTGAAATTTCCTTGCTACTAAATATTCCATGGTCAACTATTAGTGGTATTATAACAAAGTGGAAACAATTGGGAACAACAGCAACTCAGCCACAAAGAGGTAGGTCACGTAAAATGACAGAGTGGGGTCAGTGCATGGTGAAGTGCACAGTGAGCAGAAGTTGCCAACTGTCTGCAGAGTCAATAGCTAAAGACCTCTATACTTTATGTGGCCTTCAGACTAGCACAATAGCAGTACATAGAGAGCTTCAAGGAATGGGTTTCCATGGCGGGGCAGCTGCATTAAAGCCTTACATCACCAAGTCCTTTGCAAAGCATTGGATGCAGTGGTGTAAAGCACGCTGCCTCTGGAATTTAGAGCAGTGGAGATGTGTTCTCTGGAGTGCTGAATCACACTTCTCTGTCTAGCAATCTGATGGACGTGTCTGGGTTTAGCGGTTACCAGAGAATGGTACTTGCCTGCCTGCATTGTGCCAAGCGTAAAGTTTGGTGGAGGGGGGGGATAATGGTGTGGGTTTTCTTTTTCAGGGGTTGGGCTTGGCCCCTTTCAGTGAAGGGAACTCTTAAGGCATCAGCATACCAATACATTTTTGGACAATTTCATGTTCCCAAATTTGTGGGAATAGTCAGGGGATGGCCCCTTCCTATTCCAACATGACTGTAGACCGGTGCACAAAGCAAGCTCCATTAAGACATGTATGAGCAAGTTTGGGGTGGACTTGACTGGCCTGCACAGAGTCCTGACCTCAGCCCGACAGAACACATTCTCGTCCGACATCACTGCCTGACCTCACAAATGCACTTCTGGAAGAATGGTCAAACATTCCCATAGACACACTCCTAAACCTTGTGGACACCCTTCCCAGAAAAGTTGAAGCTGTTATAGCTACAAAGGGTGGGCCAACTCAATATTGAACCCTACGGACTAAGACTGGGATGCCATTAAAGTTCATGTGTGTTTAATGGCAGGTGTCCCAATACTTCTGGCAATATAGTGTATCTAAAAAAAATATAGATTGATTATTTTATAAATATGTACAGACTATGCTTAGGAAAAAATAAGTCAATCATAGAAATTAAGGTTAAACATCTATGGTTAAAAAGTAAGTTCACCTTTAAAAAAAAAATAATAAATGCACATATTTTTGCAGGTACAAAATGTGCATTTATTATTTTTTTCAGGGGCCCGCAGAGTATTACAACTGTGATCATTAGGCAACGTTCAGTCAATACCGCTGTACGAGCTTTCTGTATGAAAGCTGTAGGAATTGTCAATGAATCACAACAGCACTCACCAGGCCCTCACAGTTCATTAACCCACTGTCACGGGCTGGGGGTCGGGGATCGGGTGGTGCGGGGACCTAGTAACATGTTACACCCTAAATACAGATGTAACATGTTACTAAAGGTGATTTTAGCCTTTAAAAATTAATTCAACCTCACATCTCAGCCCACAGCAAGTACTAAATACATTATGTATATATTGTATGTACTTCAACAATAACAATCCTATAAAAGGTGAAAACTTTAAATATCCAATCCTGTGCAGAAATCCCACCACACAAGTAGCACAGGGGCTTAGTGGTCAGCACTTCTGTCTTGCAGCAACAGGGTCATTGGTCAAATCTCAACCATTACACTATCAGCATGGAGTTTGCATGTTCTCCCTGTGCTTGGGTGGGTTTTCTCAGATACCATGCTCTTGATAGGTTAATTGTGTCCTCTATCAGTTGACCCTAGCATGTGTATGTACTGTGATTAACAAGCATCAAGCGTAGAGCTTTTAAAAACAAGCCTAGTCGGTAACAGCAGATCAAAATAGCAAGGGAAACACAGGACAAAGGTACTGGGGACCCAGAGATCAACCAGCAATTTGAGAGCATGATGGCCCTCCTTATAAAGACCATCTGGTGCCAAATTGGGCTGTACCAGTGTGCATGCATGTTTC